TGGATTTTCTTTTTCGCTTCAGGAATCTGGAAATTGTGGGTTGCGAGCTTCTGGACCCTGTGAAAAGGTGTCCTGGACCCAAAAAAGATTGAGAATCACTGGTTTAGATCAAGATTTATTGGAAACGTGCTGCCTAAAAACATGTTTGCCGTGTTGAAATTGAGCAAAAGCAGCAGTAATTTCCATGGAATAATTGTTGATAGATATTAACGGAATTTCAGTTTTCTGAATCTGCCTCCTACCTAGAGCAATACATTTAATGGAAAATATCTTCCAGAAAAGTATGGCCAAAAGGAAATATCTAAGGAAAAAGTTATTTTCTCAAAGTGCATAGGTGCAAGTATCTTCGTGCTTAAGTTTCTTCTCCAGTTTCAGGTTGTATCTCTCCGTTTCACGAGAGCAACAATTTGGGGAATCCCTGAATTCAAAAAGAAAAAGTACCTGAAGGGGATGAACTTAAACAAGAGAACATTTCCCAAAATATACATCCCACGACCTGCAGCATTAACAAATATAACTTATTTATTTATCAACTTTGGACCTTCTTGGAGCGAAAATGTATTTGGTTGTTATTCCCTAAAGAAAAAGTCATTTTGGGAAAACCCTCTTAATAATATAGTTAATTATATATGCTTCAATAGTAGGATTTTTTCTTCACTCAGCAATATATCATATACTTCTGCGCCAATTTGCAAATTCCTATCGCTCTCTGTTTCGTTAGATCAAAAATATTCGGAAAATATGTCTTTGGTAAACAAAAAAAATTGAACTGAGGGGTTTTACATAATCAACAATATATTCCACTTAAATGGGTACTCAGACAACTCCATGCCTGCAAGGTGTTAGTGTTACAACTTCACCCTTTATGCTGGTGCAAATAAACCATTGGAAATACGACTGACCCTATAGCTGTGCCCCGAGGGGATGCACCACGAAACTTAAAATTTTTATGAACTCAACGTAATGTCAGTTATGCGTGTACCAACCCAAGCAGCATGTTTACACGAACAAGACATCAATTCCTTGCAAACAATGTAAATTTCGTGCGACTGCAATGAAAATGACATCACGTTTACGTAAAATTAACGTTCCTATATTTACGTCACCAAAGTGTACATGTATTTTACATTAACTAGGCGCCATTCCATTTGACCTGAAGTACATTACCTTAAGTTTATGCAAAATTAACGCCACACCATCCATATGAAACTTTAGCTGGCCATCCCGCAGTTGCAGTACCAAGATTCCTCACTAGATGGATCCCTTGTTCCCTGCATTCGACAAATACTATTAAGTACTGGCTTTCCTGATAGAATATTAGATTTTCTTACTATCCTTCCACTTTTAAATATGGAACTCATGAAATTATTATATATATTTTTCATAATGTACGACTCTGGGAATCATTATATGCTGTAAATCAGGAAATCATTAAATTCCATTGCAATCTACAGGGAGTCCCCCAATGTCATGTTACCCCAAGCTTTCTTCCTACAATGCAATGGGAAACAACTGAAACATGTGAAACAATGATGATGGTTCATCATCAGGTGCTTATTTCACTCAAGAATTATGAAAACTACAATTCAATGAAAACAGGACAGGAAGTCAACAGGATCAATGAGAGTGTCATCATACTTATAGCAAAGAATTATCCGTCGCCACATTCAACCATGGAAATAACGGTGCTCACTCAAATTCACTGGACTTCTATATGCAATTGTCATCTTCCTCGAGCGAAATAAACACCTGATGATGAATTATCATCATTGTTCCACATGTTTCAGTTGTTTCCCATTGCATCGTAGTAAGAAAGCGTGGGATAACAGGACTTTGACCTTGTACAACATGCCTTCTCGAGGTCGGCTCCCAGACACGAGACAGCGGGAAATGAACCACCCAAAGGGAAGTTCCAGTAACAGAAGCGTCAACGACCAGCTTCGTAAATCAGCTCAAACGAATGGAGGAGGACTGAGAACATGCGGCAAATAGCACAGCCCAGATTTGCAAATCATTTTTTTGTTTTACTGCAAGCTCCCGTCTACCATAGATTACAATTTTAATTGCTTGCCATCTACCATTGCGACTGCAATCCAGAAGAACAATACATTTGAAAACTAGCGCGCTCGTCGGCTTCGTTGCGCCGTTCGTGAGGGCTTTCGAAGAACAAAAAGTGATCTGGCTCGGAAGCAAAGATGATAGACAACGCAAATTGGCAATTCGGAATTTCTACAATTTCAGGGATGGTCTTCTTTCGACAACAGTGTTAACGCAAGTGACGACGAACCAACGAATCGCCCCGTATTTCAACATGGACGCTTGAAATCCATGCGTACCCGGCATCAGGCAATAAGCACTCCAGTAAGCGATGTCAGTGTCCCCTCTCGAGCGCCACGGCAACTTACGCCTCTTTGTCCGTCCGAAAGATGGCGAGACGACAGATTTTCCGTGAAAGTTGTCTCCCCTCCCTTTTGTGAGGCCGATTTGCAATTTTCATATCGCAAAGGCACATCCTCAGATGATAAGGAAAACTTCTGTTGAAACCCCAAGTTGATATCTCGAAGCGTTTGGCCTATGAAGCTGTCGCACACAAACACACATTTGTCGCTCGATCTAGCCAGCGGTTGAGGAACTGGAGGTTAAACACATAGCGCGCACGCTATATGTTTAACCTCCAGTTCGCAACCGAGGTCCTCTGGAAAATTATTCATCCAATGAAAGTTTCCGGATAAGGACGACTGAGAACAGTTGGGAGTTACACCTTTCTGAAGTATTGTCCCTGGGCATTAATGCACTTTCTCATCCTTGAACAATATGCCTCAAAAGCATGTTTTTCACTCGAATGTTGGGATACCCGAAATAAACATTACTCATGAATATTGACTGGGAATTGTGTTTCTTGAAATAAATAGTGTTGTAATTGAAACAAAATCAACAAAAAAAATTACAACAAAAATAACAAAAAAAAAGATTTGTCTGTGACTCTTCCAGCCCAAAAAGTAAGGGAACTATCTCCCTGTATGTCAGGCTTGCCCAGTTGAAACCGTGACTGGATTGATATGAACAATGCAAGGAAATGTACCAGGTATTAACAAATTTCTTTCCTCCGAGTATGGAAATTCCTATGTAAAAACAGACACATTTAGGCCTATGCAGTTAAAAGGAGAACGACTGAAACAACGCATCCAAAGAGTTCGCTCAAAACCTGCATTTGTCACAAGCGCCGATGCAACACGACAACGCCCGGCCTCACTCCAGCCTGCGCACATCATCATCACCTCGGATACATCATCACGTCGGATAGACTGTGCTGCATCATCCAGCCCACATCCCCTATCATGCACTATCATATGTTACTGTTAGACTATCATATGTTTAGCCCTCTTCAGGATGGGGTACGAGGAGAACACTACAAAAATGACAATGACCTGGAGAATCCTTAGCGCAAATGTGCTCTTTTTACAGTAAAGTATGCCCTTCATGAGCGCAAGTAAAAAGTACATCAAACGCGACGGGAACTAGGTGAAACAATACAGCACTGTGTGGAGCAGGGCTTGATTAATTTTCCTCTTCAGTTTCATGATTTTTTTACGAAGGCTACAGGGAAAAAAAAGAGGCATTACTTTCGCATCGAACCTCGCATGATGCTTAAAGTCAAGGGTTCTCAAAAATGGCGTCGGGAGATTAATGTCGAAAGATCGGAAAACAATAGGAACTATAATAAGCTTGCGACGCTCCCGAGTGTCATGGATAACGTTTGTCGCTGTCAAGGAATAATCCCGCACGCGTTACACTTCACATGCTGATCGCAGCACATTCCATCCCTGGGGCGAGGGCTCTCGGGAAGACAGCCTCAAAAGAAATCCTAAAATTGTATTCTAGTGTAGTAAATGTCCTTGGTTCATTTGCATGAGTTCGCTTTCTCAGGTACACCAAGAGGGAATACTGTACACTGGAGACAACGCTCATGCGGATCTTGATGGCAAGGTGATGTAACGAACGAAAAGAATTAGCTTGGTGGAAACACAACACAACAGCGTCTTTGTGTCCAGGGCGAACGTATATCAACTCTTCTAGAAACCGGAACCTGCCTCTCCCGCAGGCAAAAAGCGAGCAAGACATTTCGCATGCCCAATTGCAATGGATACCAGTAATGAATGCGGCCTTTTTTTCTTTGCCAACATACAGCCTAAAGGCGTACTTGCTAAGCTTGTGGGGGTTCTGTGGGGTCCCAGTGCCTCCAGATAGCCCAGGAAACTCTTTAGGTGGTTAAAGAAAGTTTCATCTCTGAGCTCCCCCCCCATTCTTCAGCTTAACGGGCACATTATAAGGGGCTCAAAATTAGCATTTATTTTAACCTGATATCTTGGAACACCTGTACCATGTACGTAAAATCATGCAAATTCTCTTCGGTATCCATGCTCGAATTCGATTATTTCACCATTTTAATTAGTTGTCATCATTAACCATTGCAAATTGTATTGGGCAATGGAGAGGCAGCAAATGGGAGGAACCCCACCATATTTCCTCAACCGCACTAAGTCCCGGGAAGAGTCATCATATATTCTGCACAGAAAGAATTAACACATAAGCATATTGAACGATATACAATAAGGATATGAAGTAATGTTGAATTCATCGTGATCGTTGCAATAAATTTCGACCAATAAATGCAGAATTTTCGTACGAAAACGTAATTTTCTTTCTTTTTTCCCAGGCCAAGGTAATATTGGTCACTCTCTGTCAGGAGGGGGAGAATCGTTTACAACCATCTTTCTTCTGGGCAAAATGCTTGTTCTATTCAAAAAGTCAATACCTTGGACAATATGTTCAAATGTGTTTAAAGTGATTTTCAGCATTTCTTCATGAATGTTATCAATGATGCAATTCCACATAAACACCATATATGAGCTGTGAACCTAAAGGACTCGTACTCATTTGGCAAAATAAGAATGCGGGATGAGATTCATCAATGGTTTGCATACAAGATAATTTAGTCTGCACCTATTTTTGAAGAGAAAGTTAAAAATAACATGCATACAGGATTCTGTGGAACCGCTGTTTGGTCAATGTCCCGAAAGCAAAGCGTTTCAAATTTCATGTCATATTGGCATGTGTGGAACGGGGAAAAATTGTTCAATCGTTGATGGGATCTGTGTCGAATAAGGAAATATCCACTTCTTGCTCAAATTCCCCTAAGTATTTCCCATAAGGATCAGAGTCATTCTTGAGTACTTCCAGCAATTGCGCTTTTTCCCTTGTATCTTGAAGGTATTTGATCCTCTGAATAAAACCAGGTTTGGCTTCATTTTTCTCTCCTACTATCAAAATATCAATGTAATCCGTGATATTCAACAAATCAGGCTTCAGAGCTATTTTATCGAGTTCTTGCAAGCATTCGTGTGCCTTCTTGGTCAGCATCAGGACTTTTACTTTTTCTCTCTTGAATTTCATAACAAGCTCCTGCAGAGTCCCTGTGACATTTATTTGCTTTTCAGAGTCTATCTTACCCGATTTCTTAAACTCAGGGCAATTATTCATTTCCTCTCCCCCATCGATGTAGAAGCAATTCTGGTTGGTCTCACGTTCTCTGTATGAAAAACGAGAACAAATATTAAAAATTAAAAATTACATATTTAACATTACGTATTAAATATTTAACATGTACCATTCAATACCTAATATTTATTATTTAAAATGAATTCAGCAGATAGTTCCTCAGAGACTGGCACATGTCACTCATTATTTACTGTATATCGCAGCGCACGTAACGCCTGTTTGTTGTTCTCTTGGATCATGCAAGGGGAATAATAAGAATCGCAGGTGCATAATAGGCAAGTGGTCACATACCTTCCAGATTCCATGAATAACTCTTGGTGCCTTGGATCCTTAGATGTGAAGGGCAATTGCTTGTTTGAATCTTCCTCAGCTTCGTTCTGTTTCAGTGCAGCACATTTTTCCCTCAGCTGTTCCATTGTTGCCATAGCTGAAAAAGAATAATCAAGGATATCCCAAAGCACGCAAATGCAATGAAGCATATGAGCAATCATGATCAGAAGTACGGTAGCTGAGATGTATTCCTATCCTGAGTCCACTCCCTTCCCCATGTTACGTATACTAATGGCAGGTAAACCTGTTGCAAACCGGAGTAGACGAAGTGATCTGCTGTCGTGGAAGGAGTCAGCATGATTTGTAGAGACTACCACCCATGTAGCACCTGAACGTGTTCAATTAATTTTTCATTTGAGGCAGGGCTGTCAAACTTAAATCAGACAGCGGGCCGCATTCCTTACCATGCAGATGCCTGTGGGCCACACCCATATTTTTCACCTAAATGTGTACTAACAGTCAATCCAAGCGGGACTTTGAAGAACAGACAGCAGGCTGGATGAACCACCTGCACGGGCCAGATCTGGCCCACGGACCGTAACTTTGACACCCCTGAGTTTAGATATTGCCACCGTTCCAAGAACGTCCTTGGGACGTTGTATTGACTAGTTAAAAGTAAGAAATTTAGAGCGATCAAATAACAAGTCAAATTATGCATTTCGTGAACGACGGGATTCCACTGGGGAATTGAATTGTGTATTTCCAAGAAATGGGTTCAATGAACTTCCTCAGGATTCATACGAAACGCAATTAACGTCTTGGATACATTCTTTTCATCTCTTAAATTGTATTTAGTCTAAGTAAAACCCTGTTCCTGTGGCAGAGCTCAGAGGCCAACATGTAACCATCTAATTTGGTTGGAAGTACTATATTCCCTTCCATGATGAAGAAGAGTGCAGAAATACGGTCATACGATGGAATAATTCATAGTTATCTCATGCGCGGGAGTCAGACACGCTCTGCACTGAATTCCCTTTCATAACGATAATTCCCTTTCATAATAAGCGATGACATGCATTTTCATCATTCACATTTCCTTCTCCTTCCCATTGAGTAACCTCAAAAATTGAACAACCCTCCCTCTCTCTTTCGAGTCCGGGTTTTCTGGGGACCCATTCGATTGGTTTACTTCCCACGACCGATTTGTTGAAGAACTCTTATGTCTTTTCCTCTGATTTATGTGGGGAAAATTCAGTTACCACGTGGAAAGTATTGGGAACTAGTTCCAGCTGTGTCAGTAATTGAACCGCTACAGCGACAACATTGACGTCAGCTAGCGTCGGTTCTGCGAACCTTTAGTTCAGGCCATTGTCACATGGATACCATATGCTTGAGGAAATCATATTTAACGTTCAGCGAATGTCTTTCAAAAAAAGGGATGTTTGGTGATCAAGTGGTATCTTAACTAAGCGCCTAAAAGGTGCTCATCCAAGTGCGTTGAACGTTGAAAAGCCTCTTTGGACAAACTTTGAACTTCCTCCAGAGCGTTCATGTGCTACTTTGGCTGTGATATGTACCGGATGTTGCACATAGATACCCCCCCTTCCACAGCCTAAATAATAAAAACACGAAAAATGACATAATGAGAAATAGCATTCATTTTCGATTCTAAACATGTACTTCTAGTAATTAATGTGAACCTTGGCTGTGTGTCTGACAGCTTAAACACAAGCGGGTAAGATAAAGAAAAAGACGCCTAAAGAGTTCGATGTCATGTTCCATGTCCTTCAGCACTCTGGTGATATTGCTTCACAAGGCTTCTTGGACGAGTCCATGCTGATTGCCTCCCATATGTAAAAGAGCCTCAATGTATTATTTATGGATAACCCCAATATTCTCAGCCACATTCATATCAGGAGAATTTCCCGGCAATTCCGCATTTCCAAATAAATCAATATCCGAGTCTTTCAGAATTTGCTGTGTGGTCAAAGCTTTGAAAAACAGGGCTTCTTCAGACAAATGCTGAACGTTTAATACTTTTCTAAGCCCATGAATGGGTAAAAAAATTCAGCTCTGGCATCATGAGCTCCTCAAACATCATAACATTGATGAGATCAATGAATATAAGCTTTTCAGCATCACACGACATCTGAAAGCACAAACTGGGATTGCTTTGAACCACAATTAAACAAGGATTTAAAATATATTTTAAAAATCTCTTGCGCCTATTGCTTGGGTTGTGGAGGGGTGCGCTATCTACTAACCAAACAATAAGACAAAAAAAACAATGCCACCATTAAAGAACTCTAGCGCACGTCGGTTTCCTGGCGTCGTTCTAGAGCGCTTTCAAAGGACTGACGGTGATGTAAGCAATGACGAAAGACCATGTCATTCTACAATTCCGACATTCCGCATTTTGAGAGGACTCCCACGAGAAATCCTCGGTGATGGACTTCTTTGCGGAGTCCATGTGAATGCAAGTGGCCACGAACTGAATCGCCCCATATTTCGGCATGGACACTTAGAATCCCTGGATTCCCCGACAGCAGACTGGAGGCACTGCAATAAGTGATGTCGCGTTCCCTTTCGAATACCACGGCAATTCTCGTCCCCTCGTCCACCCGAAAGATGACGAGATGAGCGCGAATCTCTGATTTTCCGTGAAATTTAGCTCCCCTCCTTTTCGTGGGGCGGATTTGCAAATTTCATTTCGTAAAGGCACATCTTCGGGTGATAAGGAATATTTCTCTTGAAACCTCAAGTTCATACGTCGAATCGTTTGGCCTCCCACACAAATGCACACATTAGTCGCTTTGCTAAGCCCTTGTTCAAGATCGCGCACGCTATATATTTTTAACCTCCGGTCCTTGGTTTCGAAGCAAGCGATGTCTAGAGGTATGAATAATTCACCATTGCAAGAAATTCAAAACGGCCTTTGGACTGCCGTAGGTCCTAAAATAATTAATTTCTAAACGTCGGTGAGGGGGCGGATATTCAGTTTGAGGGGGTCGGCATTTGTATCACTTATCCTAATAGTTTCTCCAAAAAGCAATCGTATTTGCACCTGAACACATTGAGGCAGATATAAATCAGATTGAGAGGTATAAAAAAGATCTTGCGCGCATAGTGGCTCTTTTCATGAAAACAGAATAATTATGTATTCACTGCAAAATATTTAGGGACGTGGTCGTGCATTTTCCCTCTTCTCTGTAGAAGATGCACATTTTACTTTACATGAATTCCCAACTGGGATTGGGGCAATTGAAAGAGGTCGAAAGTTGGACATAAATACACGCAAAAATATCTTCAAAAGTGACAAAGGAAAAAAATATGTGGCCTGACTTACATATCTTGAGCTGTGGTAAGATGCCTTGGAGTTGTTCTTCCAAATAAGCTCTCTGCTTCAGAACTGCCTTCGTCAGAGTCAGACTCACTGGTTCTTCTTGAAAACTGTTGAACAATTTTTCAAAGCTTTTGGTTGTGAATTTCCAAAATAACTCAGTTAACTCATAATCAGTCTCGTTCTTCCGTCTGAAGATAGCAGCATTGTTGAAATTGAAAACATTTCTGCATGAAATGCCTGCTCTTTTCAGGGCCTCTAGAACGGCAGGCTTGTGGTCATCCGCAAAGGTAGCAAACACATATATGTTGCGTTCGACATCCTTCCCGAAAATGGCGAGGATGGAATCGAAGATATACCGTTGGGAGGCCGTGAGCCTGGCTTGAGAGGCCCAGACAACGAAACCTACTCCATCAATCTGATCTACGCCTAGGGATCCGCCTTGAGAGAAGAATTTTTGAATCTGATGCCTCAAATCTTCATCTGCTTTCAAACCAGTAGTATCGCCAATCCCTGGGGTATCGATGACGGTCAACGTATAGGGTAGAGCGAATCCCTCTTTCTTGTGGAGGACGTATGCCGTGATCCACTTGGTCTGGCTTTCAGACTGTGACACATCGCTGTCCTCGATTAACTTCAACCTGAAATCGTCTTCCAACTTCACTCCGTATGCGTAATTCGCAATACTATCGATCAGAGTACTCTTGCCTGAGAAAAAAAGGATTTGGCTAATTACATCTGAACCCTTTGTAGCAGCAACTCTACAGTTAATTGGTCTTCACCTGATCCCGTGGGTCCGACAAGCATGAGCACCTTTCCAGTGTCCCTGGTGGGTGTTCTTTCACCGACTTCGACCTTCGCCAATCTGTTGTGAAAGTCTTCCATCACGTTCAACCTTGGAAGCATGTGAATGAATTCATCACGACTTCGACACGTGTGCTTCATTCTTTGCGCAAGAGTGAGCTGCTTATTCAGCGATCCTGTTCCCTCCTTCAGAGGAAAAGCATGCATGTAAAACTTTGATGAACTTCATTCATATAACTGTTTTTCATTCCGTAGCTTGCTTAACCCATTCTCAACTGCCGTCCCAACGTTGAGACGCTCGAAAATCATGCTCTTATTTTGTAGGAAAGAATACACTATATTACCACAGTAATTGGGACAAACCTTCATCCGACGAGAACAGATTCCCCAGGTGGTCGTGCTCATTACAGCAGTGCAAAGGTACTTAAAAGAAAGCTGTAAACTGTGTTACAGTCATTGTTTGCCGGTATGGCGCGTGGATCACAGCTGACGGATTTAGAACGAGGAATCATGGTTTTCATATCGAACATACCTGCGATGTGACGCTGTATTCCAATCCCCTCGACACACAGGCAAACACGGACTGCGACAGACTCCAGATTACCTTAATATACATTTGGACAAACGTTTTGCAGATGACCTCTAGGACAACGTGCTATCGGCGGAGATGGGCTTGTCCCAATACTTTTGGTAATATAGTGTACCAGCTGAAGAGGACGAATACCATGGTTACATAGCCCTCCGGATCTACAAAAGCATACTTTTCCATGTGAGGATATGTAATCGACAGGGTTCTAGTCGTTTCTAGACCTACTCATTCCGTCAATTTGAAAAAATCATCGCAACAGTCGCCACTATCACCCCCGATATACTAGCTAAAACTTGGACTGAACTATCCAGTCCCATCAGGTTGTGTCATGAATGTGCAGGAGGTCATGTTCAGGTGTGATATTGCACATAAAATGTAATGACAATAGTAAGCATGGTACCAAGTTCTAATTCCATATATTACGTGTTTTGGTTTCTTCAATGCATATTTTTTGAGTACAGGGCAATTCCACGCTAAGTTGAAGCCTGAGGCCAAAATAAAAACTGCGTAAATATTGCATACAATGAGCATACCTGGACACTGAAAGAGAGATATGAACATCATATGGTTGAACAACCAGATTGTTAAAATAGTTATTCCCCAGGAAACGTGTATGTTCTAAAGTGTCACCCCTTGGATATGCTCATTTCATTCAAATACTTCTTTTTGCAAGGCAGGTTTTTTGCGGATTACAACCAAACTACCAGTGGTAAATCGTGGAGAAAGCGGGAGACATCTTGTACATATGACCTTTTTTGCACATTGGTAGAAAATAACTAGGAGAAGGTACGCGGCAAATGAGTATGTCCAGATTCGTCCCTTCAACCAATTTCAAAGATATGTGTATATTTCGAGAGGGCGTCTTTAGCCAAACCTAAAAGTGCAATTCCTTTTTAAATCTGAGCAGTTTTAAAAAGTTAGTTCGGTTAAGTTAAGGTTGGGTTAGATTATTGTTTTGTTTTCTAATGATACTTCCAATGAATGCCTGCCATACTCTAACAACTTAGAATGAACATCATTTTGGAAGTGAACTTTAGTGAATATCAGTGACCATTAGCTGGGAATTGGAAAATCAAGTTTAAAAAATGTGAATGTCTCATTCATGACAAGAGTTAATTATGATTAGATACATCGTACGATTTTTACAAAGCACAATTCAATTGTATTTATATTGTGGACTTTTATTGGTAATTTGCATTTCCCTTCCTTGGAAACAGTTGCATGTATATGTTCTAATGAAAAATTCCTACGAAATAACCTAATCCTAACCTACCCTAGCCTAAACTAACATAACTTGACTTTTTGAAACCCTTCAGGTTGCAGTAAAAGTGGTATTTTATTACTCTGCATAGGATACCTTTTCAAATGAAATTTGATTAATTGAATTCGGTTTAAGGGCCACATATACATTATATTGGGCATACTCCTTTGCCTGCGTGAATAATTCCAGATTCATACCATTCATGGGGAAAACTTGATGCGGGAATCGACATGTCTTTTTAGTGTTATGTTAGTTACACATGCTTCAAGCAACTCCACTAGCAGAAATGTGAATTCTTTATGTAGACTAAAGTGCTGAACTGCAAGTGCAAGATGGAATCTCCATGAAACAAACATATTTGTTGGGAGGGATGAAAACTGGCTGAGTAAATTGAACTGATATAGATGCACTCTGCGTTCAATTGTTATGTTATTCACGATGGAATCACACTACACCGTTTTGGATCACCCTGTATTATTTACCCCTACAAGGACTGCGGCTATTTTTTATTATTAATAGCGCTGAAACCGTTAAAATATGTATGGGTAGCCTTTGTTGAGTTATCCAAGGAATGAGACTTTAAATCTCATTTTCCTCAGGAATGCATCAGCCTTTAGAGTAGGACTTCTCCATATTACTTCCAAAAACTGAAGATGGCTGATATTTGATGTGGGCAAATATATAAAGGAAATTCAATTCAAGAAATCAGTAATGTAGGCCAAAAAATGTGTCACGGTTACTCGGACAACCAGGTAGGAAATTAAACCTAATTATTCCCGTAAAAAAAAAACACTCACCAAAATCTGAATGAATTCGGATAAGACAACTTCGTTCTGATCTATGACTGCTTTTAAACAACCATGTACGTATCGTATGTCGGGAATGCCCTATTTGAAACCCCTGAACGTGTATGCTCATGTTGTCTCTTTAGTGCCCCCATTCACGAATGAGCCCAATGAGTAGTCTCCTGTTTAAGTCAACTCAAGTTTGATACAATTTTCTTTTTACGGAATGACACAATGAATATAAGGTACTAGCGAGTTTGTTTGCCCGAAGGGCAAACAAACTCGCTATGGTCGCGCCTTCGGCGCTCCATTGACTTCGATAGTGATCAATTCATTTACACCTTGCGAAATTGCAAACACGTATTTTAAGTACGACTCCAGTAAAATACGTGATATGTGGAGACGAAATTCTTCATTTTTATCAAAATCATTACTTCGATTATTTCTAGTGTGCCTAATTTGAAATCGTTTCATGTGTCCCTTTTTGTAATGGTTTAGAATACATTTTGAAATACTTCCCTCCTAT